AGGAGGCCCCTTTTATGCATAATTACCTAATTATTTTGACAAAATGGTATGATAACAGTTCACCCATCTGACGGTCGGCCAGTTTTTTCTGTTTATCTCTTACATGGCATTGAAACTGCTGCAAACATTTATCTATGCCTGGTACGGCAGTCTCATTACGAGTGCGGTGAGTTTTGATCAGCTTCTTCAAATGGGTGATTACCGTAACATCCAGAATTAATTAATTACTAATTATTACATATATATATGTGCTTTTAGAGCGAGCACTTTCGTGAGGGAATATATTTCAGCGAGTGGCCGGATTCCAGTCTCGACCGTGAAATTAGGGCGAGCGTTATCGTGACAATGATGCAGAAGCCAATAATCATAAAGGCGTTAAAATTGTCTTCCGTGAATGTTAACATGTTCACCAATGTGAGTACTAAAGTAATGGTTTGTTGTACGAATCTTACAGCCAAAGCTTAAGATCCATGTAATCCCTTTTTTGGCTTTTATCACATGTGATCAACGTCAATGCGATTTTATCTTCTATTCATATAAAAATAGACATGAATTTGAAAGAGATCAGAAAAAATTTATGCTAATTTTGAGATCCTTAAGATAGAAAGCTAATTTTAAAATTATTTAATTGGTATTTTATGACTATAATTTGTGATTACATCATCAATGATGACTAATTCGTTGTCTTCATTATTAGATTGTGAACACTGCAATGTCCTATTTTTTTCTTTTGCAATCCTTGGACGAGGATAAATAAAAATGGACGCCACGTATCAGCTGGTTGTAAATTTTAAGAAGCACGTAGAATGGTTGTAATATGGAAGAACATTGTGATTAAAAAAATAAAAATATAATTCCTGAACTTGACACAAGTAGGGTAAAAGCACCTAATATCGCTCAGAACGTAATATCGTCATTCGTGATCCCAGATAACATGCATGTCTAAAAGACATCTTTAAGATGTCTTTAACACGTCTTTTAGACATCTTTTAGACGTGTATGTCTAAAAGATATCTTAAAGACGTCTTAAAGAAGTCTTGAAGATGTCTTTTAGACAAGCATGTTATCTGAGATATCTCATTGTACATACATACAAACTTTAGAACGAGATAACTGGTGTTGAACAGTAGCTTTGAATCTTTGACTAGTGAAGTAGTGGGGGTAACAGAAGAGTAGGGGAATGAGAGGGTTAAAGAATAACCGTTACGGCGACGGCGATGATGACGACAACGGCGGTAATCAGTGGTCTTGCAAGCGTACCCCAGCAAGCGACGGAGGTTCAGACAGCGGCGACGAGACCGAAGCCGCAGCCGAGGGACGTGGACGAGGCCGTGTCGTCAACAACAACTTTTGTCCACTCTGTCAAGCATAGTAGCCATATTGAATTTTTGCTCCATTCCAGATATTGATAGACAGAGAGAGGGCTACTGTTCAAAGTATGTTGTCTCTTTCTAAAATTTGTACACCCCTGCAGCCAAAATGCGCAGTCTATACATATATTATACGTCTATGGCCGGTATTCATAGTCGAATCTTATTTCAAAATCATCTTAAAGGCCTTTGCAAGTAAAAAAGCGTTAACCGTAACCGTAATTTTAGTCCGTAATCGTAGTTTTCAACACGTACAGACAGATGGGTTGCTCCATCTAAAATTACGGTTAACGCTTTTTTACGTGCAAAGGCCTTAAGTGTTGTCTTAAGACGCTAATACGACTCTGTGATTGGTTGAAATCACAGAACGGACTATGAATACCGACCTATGGGTGATCCTCAAATGCGACTCGCCCTCTGCGAACGTTGGAAAACGTGGACATGAACTACGTAGCCAATGTTCACATTTCGCCAAGTAGGTAACGCAGATTTGCACAATTTTGGTCGCAGCCGCGCTATGGTTAGCTCCCATGCAATAATCTTGCACTTAAAATAATCTCGAGTACAAGAGCATTGCATAGGACCTGACTATAGCACAAAACGCGACCAGAATTTCACAAATCTGCGTTACCCGCTTGGCAAAGTGCGGATATTGGCTACATAGTTCATGTCCACGTTTTCCACGTGTACAGAGGTCGTATCGCATTCAAGGATCGCGTTTAGATTGTAGAGAATTTACAGTTCCAAGTTTAACATACTGCAAACACTCGCATACACAATTTATACTTCACACATCTATACGTTTTCCTGAGAATATGCTACGATAGATATTAAAATGTAGATCGCAGCAAGTTTGCAAATCACTGAGCTATAAATACCTGTATGATTTAATGATTGACCTTTGGACTTATTCGTTATGAGAGTCACACTGCTAGCCAGTTTAAAGACGAGTATGTCAACTGACGCTTAAAATATTGGTTTTATATTAGTATAGAAGTTTTAGTATATTAACAATTGTGTGCCATATATATATGTATACATATATAATATATACGTGTGTTTATGTATGTATTTAGCATGTTTACGCAAGTTGTAATTCATGATTTGAGAACAAGATCATGTATGAAGTTGTTGAAAGCGCTGTACAGCAAGTCGCAATCTGTACATGTAGTTAAGGAAATAGAAATTCCAGTACCTTGGGGCAAGGTTGCCGGTATGTATAGTTTTCCTCCAAGTGTAAATGTGACTTTAGCAATTGTGCAAACACAAATTTTATTCTAGGCAAATTATGGGGATCGCAAGATAAACAACCTATTCTGGCTATGCACGGCTGGCAAGATAATGCCGCATCATTTGATACTATAGCACCCCTTCTTATAAAAAATACACCAGTTCTGGCAATCGATTTACCTGGACACGGACTATCTTCATGGTTACCACCAGGATTTATGTACAATGAATTGGTGTACTTCTTGTTAATCAAAAGAATTAAAAGATACTTTGGATGGGAGAAAATAAAAGTAATGGCGCATTCTTTAAGTGCTATGACAACATATTGGTACGCTGCGTGTTTCTCAGAGGAGCTACAGTATGTTGTAGCTCTGGACTTTTTCAAATTTCCAGCTGTAGAAACGAGCGTATACGCAACCAGATTTGGAAATGCAGTTGATGCACTTTTCAAGTTGGAGGAAAGTAATGTTCAACTAAGTTACTCTGAAAGCGAGATTATAAAAAAGGCATCTGCAGGATTTCTAAATTTGGATGAATCATTATACAAGATACTTATGACTAGAGGTACCACACGAAAAGAAGATGGAACATATGTTATTAACAGAGATCCTAGATTACGAGTTCTACCCGTCCATAGTATGTTTTCGCAAGAGCAACTAGACGAATTTGCAAAACTCATAAAGTGTCCATATCTAATAATAAAAGATGACGATTTTTATGGTGAGAAAAGAGAAAATTTTTATAAAACATTAGAGGTATTGAAAGCTGCCAATGACAAAGTACATTTTGAGACTCTATCAGCAACTCACCATCTTCACCTCAGTCATGCGGAAAATACGGCAGCAATTATTAATCCCTTTTTAGAAAAGTATGACTGATGAAATATATTCTGAGTATATGTATATGTAATTAGTAAAAAAATATGATAACTATATATTGTTTTCTTTGTGCCCAATAATATAGTTCAAATTAATAATAAATAAATATCTAAACTTATTCAGAAAAGTAGTAATATTTATTAAATATAATTATTTTCTGAAAATCCTCAACATTATTTATATATGCGACAATTGTTATCAAATGTTTACAATTAAGATATACATTTTGTTTAAAAATATATTTATAAAAATTATTAAACAATATGTAATTTATATAATCACATAGGAAAATCCTTTTATTAAATACATATAATATAATTCTACTAATATCTTTTTAGTCGTAATCTTAAATTAAAGACGAGTTAAAAAATTTGACATTTTTTATTGTAATGTGTTCCATTAATTTGATATAATACTATATTTATTACAGACATTATATGTATATGACATTATATTTGATATTATATTTTGTTTTTTATGGTATGAAATATTTCTCGTTTAAATTTACACTATACATTATGTAGGATGACGATATCACAGCTATCCATTGTGCAATTCACTCATACTTGACTGGAAATAAACGTTTTTTTAAATAACTCATTGCACTAGTTCAGGTTTATCTTTCTCCTTCCATGTGGAGAGAGAAAGATAAACTCTAAACTAGTAGAGCTAGTTAAGCTAAAAAAAAGACAAACCATTTGTCATACAACAAATGTAGTAGCACTCCCTAATGCTCTAAAAATTCGCGTCGTTTTTAATTTGTGTTACTTGTTAACTATTACATAAAATAATGCATATAAACATTTAAATACAATTCACTCTAAATTCTTCAGTATATTGATTGCAATAGTTGCAGTTTATGCTATTTTGGATTAAATACTTTTTATTTTAAATGAAAATATCATTAAATTAAATAAGAAATTACGCTCTTGTAAAACAATCCAACGTGTATACAATAAGTAATTTATAATGAAAAAATTTAAATATTATGTTTACGGAAAAAGTGAAATGACACAATATAACACAATTCATTATTTTATTTATTATAAAGGAACTGTAGAAAGAAGTACATAGTAACTGTATGTACAAAGAGCACAAGAGACAGTCAAACTTTCACCAGAATCATTCACTCATGTTCAAATGCCATATGTATTAATGAATTCAGTCTGAACGCTTATTTTGTTGAACAATGAATAAAAGGCACTGGCAAGAATTGCTTCTCTTGTCTGTTTTCAATGTGCAACTCCCATTCTTTCGTCGCAACAACATACCAGCAAAATTTATTGATACACTTAATTCTAACATCAAAGAGTAACCACTGTGTTACTTTAAGATGTATCTCATATCTTTTACACACGAGCAGAAAATCTTTTAAATATTTAAATTAGTCGCATGACTAAACATTTCCTTTAAATACTAAAAGAACTTTCGGTTTTTCTCTGAAGTGTTTGTGTCGTCAGCACTTTAACGCAAATAATGCAAATAAGTTATATCATTTCCTTTTATATCGACAAAACACAGCATAATCATGTTCGCTTTCAGCGTTTATAAATATTATAAAATAGTTTTTCTAATATAAATTTATAACTCTCATCATTCTATTGCTATTATAAGTTTTCGTAATGTTATTAATAGTAATTAGCGTAATGTGTATGTGTGTGTGTGTGTGTGTGTTATAATTGTGTCGTTACAATTTTATTGTTCTACATCCGGGAATTATATGGGAAGCATATATAAAGCACATCCAGATTGGTCTCTATTTTCATTTATCGTTGATATACAAAAGTTCCCGAAGTCTTGTTTATAACGGAAAACTCAAGTTATCTATTATGTTGCGCTTGTGACTCTGCGACCTGTTCTCCAGTGTGCACCGGCTGTGTCAATGTATTTTGAAACCACATCATCCAGTTGCTCAGATAATGGCCGTCCAATTGATTTTCAGGATTGTCTCTTATCTGCACATCGTTCAATTCTTGAAAATTGCGAACGGTTCGGAGTTCCGTAAAATTATTGTTCACCGAATGGCTCCTATGCATTCTTACCTCTCTCTTTCTAAGGGCATCCTTTACTAACCTTTGCCTACGCTCCTCTTCCGTCTCGATGGCGGATCTCGTGAATCTCATTTCCCTGGCTCTCAGTGCATCCCTTCGCAATCTTTCCTTCCTTTCTTCCTCTGATTCTTTAGCGTACTGACTTAATCGGGCTTCTCGCCTCTTTGCCGACTCTTTGTTTAATCTTTCTCTTCTCTGTTCTGGCGTTTCGTTTGAGTACAATGACAATCTTTTAATTCTTCTTCTCTCGGCCTCACGATCCAGTCTCTTTCTCCTATCTTCCGGCGTTTCGTTGTACATCCTATATTCTCTTTTTCTTGCTGCTTCAGCATCGAGTCGTTTCCTCCGTTGCTCTGGCGTCTCGTAATACATTCTCATCTCGCGTCTCTTTGCTGCTTCCTTTGCCAATCTCTGCAAACGTTGCTCCTCGCTTTCTTGTTCATACAACTTTTTTCGTTTTTCTCTCATACACTCAGCCTTTTTCCTCAATCTTTCCCTATGGTCTTGATGATGCACGACAGACTTCAGCCTGACGTGCTTTTTTGATCTTCTGGAGATTTTAGTTTTTTCTTGGTCAAGACTATCCTTGCCGTCCGTTAATTGGCCCTTACGTTTTGCTAACGCAATTACATCGCTAGTGTCAACATCAACGGGAATTTGTATATTCTGTTTGGTATCCTTCAAGATCCTCAGTCGTATATTAGCATCATTATTACCGTCGCATAACCATTCTGCAGTATACAATGTGCCATGATCTTCGTCATCCTCCTTCTTTATATTGATGTTAAGCCCGTCCAGGAGTTCGTTCGATATCGTAACTGTAGATATATTGTAATTGGTCGTTTGTATCTGTTCGTCGTTTCGAATGAACACTTCCGTTGCGTTCGGTTGTTTTTGGAACTCGATATTTATGGAATTGGAGTCCAAGGTATCTAAATAAATTGGATCTGTTAGCACGTTAGTAATAGCGCCGTTCTCGGTATGTTGTATGTTTTCTAAAGTGGATTCCGAAGTGTTTGATTCGTTCGCTTCATTCTGATCTCTGTCGATCGTTTTCTCATTATAGTTCTTGGTTTCTCTGATCTCGATTGCACAAAAATGCTGCGCCGATGTAATTATCTCGACTTCATTAAGATCCGCTTCGCGCTCATCATCTTTCAGCTTATCGTACGCTGAGATCAAGTCTGTCGGACGATTTCTTATTTGTACATCGCCTTCAGATATTTCCATGTCCCACCAGAGATCATCAAATAATACGTTAATTGCTGAAATCATATAATATGTTGTAAATAATTTGTCCCAAAATCATGTGTTTCAAAATATTAATTTTGATAAGTGATCAAAATCATGCGAATAAAAGGACAACCAGTCGCTGAACGTTTGCAGCATTAACAACAGGTTTTACCCTCTTCATGAATCATTTGTCACATGTTTCCTAATTCGTTATAATCTCCAATTATCAATTACTTCTCGCAGTGTACACAATCGAGATCTATCATGTGTTTGCCATATAATCGATTACTTTTCTTACAAACTTTCCTATTCCTCGAATATTTGCAGTTCTTGTGAACATCATTTATCCCGAAATTATTATTATTATTCTTATTATTATATCATTTGCATGCATACATTCTCCAAAAATGAAGATAAAACATCACAAGGTATTTGTGACAGAAAAGTATACAAGGGCAAATTGTGATGATATCATTTTTCTGCTCGAATCACAGAATGATGATAATTAGATGATGCTAGAAACCTATCGGAAATGTACTCCATACCTGCGTATCGTCTGCTTGACAGCTGATTCAAGATGGCGACGTGGATGGCACTTTGGAGTCGTGCATTTCCGCGGTATCCTTCAGCACCAAGCTCGACGCGATCATCATTCTTTCTCTCGTGTTACATGCTAGGTGCCGCAAATCGCGAGTAAGCCCGACATGTCGTTGGAACGTCCACGCGTCTCTACCCGAAATTCATCCGAACGTCGAGCGTCGCTCGTCCATCCACGTCTTTCGTCATTGCTAACGGCAACAAGATCTGAGAGTGGACTCCAGAACAGAATTCGAGCCCCATTTTAAAACCGAAGGTGGCGCCACCGCGTGGTGTGGGGTCTCTTGTTTGGACTTTCGACGAATCATTCTGATTGGTGAAGAGTTCTGATAGGACTCCAATTCCTTTATAATAAATAAAATAATGAATTGTGTTATATTGTGTCATTTCACTTTTTCCGTAAACATAATATTGAAATTTTTTAATTATAAATTACTTATTGTATACACGTTGGATAGGTTTTGGAGAATGTTTTGCGGAAAAAAGTGTTTACACGGCAGCTTATAAGCCGGTTTAATAACTGTGGTATACTACCACGATTCAAAACTATTGTGTTTTTGATCATAATAATCATTTGAATATGAGCCTATTTTGTTGCTCGAAACATTTTAATCAATTTCTTTTAACGTATATGTATAATAAACGGAATATATCATTTAATTACTAAATTATAGATACTGCTCGTTTCTCCCGATAAACGGTTGTCAGATTACATTGGTAAGTAAGAACATGAGTTAATAAATGAGTAAGGCACTTTTCCTGATTTTGAAAACATAAAACAATTACAGATGCTTGGTAAATAAAACTGTAATTCTTTTCCAAAATTAGAAAAACTGGAGAACAACTTTGCTCCTCTATTAATCAGACGTTGACAGTGAAAATTTCACGTCATTCTATAAAATCATTATCGAGAAAAATTGAAAGTGGTTTTCATGATTTCTTTATCAGCAGAAACGTGTAACATATATCGCCTTAATGCAGGTGATGTCAATCTGTTACAATATTCTACCCAAAATTACTGGCTACATTTTGTTTATCGCTTGGATAGCTAAATCTGTTGAGAACAGATTTGAAAGTGTCTGCTGCAAGTTTTGTTTATAGAATATATACTGTTAGCTGAGTAAATAGGACACAAGTGATACCAAATTTGCTATCAATCTGTTGTACTGCAGGCAGTTTACTTATTATACAACAAATCGCACGTGGCTAAACAGAAAAATCCCTAAACAGCGTCTAGTTTAACCGTGGAGCCCGCACAGTTAACATCCTTGCGTCCAATTACGCGCGGGACGTCTAAAAATGGTCAACAATTCTTTCTGATTCTCATTGGACGTCGATAAATCTCGCCCCGCACGGTATTCGCACTTTTTACCCACGCGATCCTATGCTCCCCTTCCAGGAACGTGATCCTCGATCATACAGTATTAATTACCGACGCGATGCATAACGATTAGCTTTTTTCTGTCAGCAGCCGTCGCCGAAACGCGTATCCGTATCCGGACTGCCACGACGCGCGCATGTCACCGCGAATGTCAACTTCAAATGGAAACGTCTTAATTATCGGAGCACGTATAATAGTATTGGGGACGGAGTGCCCAGACGCATCCAACAAAAACTGTCGATCGGCCCGTGAACGAACGACCGGCGGGAGGAAAGGAGGGAGAGGACTCGGGATAACAGGGAGAGATTATACAAGGGACGGATGCTATATAAGTGTATCGAACCGGGTTTCTCGTCTCCGCCACCAAAAGCGATGACGATTATGCGCTGCGATGCAAAAAAACGTCCCGCGGAGATCGCGGTACGCCGATAAATCGCGTGAGGTCTCACCGTGGTCCCGCGGTCGGCTACATCCGTGGGACTCGGACGGGACTCTTTCGGAATCAGGCCTCTCAGACGTTCGTGTTTACTACGAAAACGTCTTCACTCGGTCTTCTCGATCTCTATGTCGCCTGGGCGAGCGTCCACGTGCGAAAACGAGGTGCCGATCTCTCAAACATATGTAATTTCTCGGAAGTCCCCAGACAGCACACAATATTATATTGTGACAATGATATTCTATTAATAAGTTGACACCCATGTGGTATGAAATTATTCCAAATAGTAATCTTGTAATCGCATTTGTGTACGAGTTACGGAGAAGAAAAACTGATGACGAGAGGGATTTAAATAGCCTATGGAGAGCCGCATGAACGGAAGGGCGCACTCATTTTGCATCTCTCTCAGTTCTGCTGCAGACATTTTCTTACGAAAATGCGCAATCCATGTATTATAGGTCCAAAGTATGGTACGACTTTTCCGTATTTTCCGTTTACGTCCGTTCCAAGATGGCAGATCTGATTGCACTATAGCAAACGTTACGGTGAAAAGGCGCGCAGTTACAAATATGTCGGTGCATGTATATGATTTCCATAACAGGAGTGATACCGAGGTGGTACGCGATAATTTATGGAATTCGATCGTGATTGAGCGACGATTGTGGACTTTGTATGCGGAGCCGGTTGCTGCGTGCGGAATGTCACGACGGATGGTTTTTTTCCGTGACGATTTGACAAAATCATTAGAGGGCTAAATTCAATAAAGAGTCCGCGCGGAACCAGGCCGCTCGCCGGACTCCGTCGTAAGAAAACATTCTCGCAGGGGCGATCAACAGCATCGTAATCGGTATTAATATGATACTTATTATTCTGTTCACGCTGCCATTTCTCCGTCATTTATCTTGCCGAAATAGTTTTCTTGCCCGTTGCTATTAGATTAGGCGAAATGAAACCTTAAATAATTCGAGCGCGAAGCGACGAGCCTTCACGCGCCACGTGTCAGAATCGATACGTGGTAGTGTCGGACTTGCGAAACATCGCGTAGAACGATATAACGACAACGCACTAAACAAAATATCTAAGTAAAATTAGAATTCATTTATTATCCTACTCTTAGTCTTCGTATACAGCCTTCTACACTGTAATGGACTTTAATGTCTCGCGCAATATAACTTTTCGCATTATAGTTTTCCATTCATGCGGCACGCGAGATAACGAACAATGACTACTAATATTGTAACATCAGGAAAAAAAACGAAAACTAAGCTTCGCATATTCTCAGATAATTGTCAAAAGTAATTTATAAATCGTTATTAAGAATTATTATTGCAATATTTTTATTGACACTTATTGTTAGCGGTGCCGAATACTTAGTAGATTTCTGTCTTACAAGAGATTACGCCTTGGCCCTTTAATGGTGTTACGCATTAGTCTCTTTTAGGATTGTAACGCGAACTATAAACTGTAATAATAGAATACCACGTACGGTAACGATCAATTCAGGTTGTCATTTCTCGGAAGCGGCTGATTGTCGGAAGAAACTGCGCTATTTTGACGATACGCTTTGTTACGAGTCGCGCGAACGTGCGACTCGCCTTACATGAATTACACGATTGTCTCAGGATTTACGGCGCATTTGTATTTTTCTGAAAGATGAACAACGCGAAATTGTGCAATCGCTCACAGAGGATCAGGTGTTGATTAAAATTGTTGAATAACAAATACGACATTCATACAAAATATCTCTCGTTAATTCGTCAAGAACACAATTACTTTTTCTCTTAGAAGAAATTAATAATACTAAATTATGATAAAAAGATGAAGAGATATATACTTAATACACTAAATAAATATCATAAAGTATAAATTGTATTTATAATGTTTTAAGAATAAAGATTTAGGATTATACTTTTGCTGTTTGTTGAACCACGCGGAGAGAATTTTTTCTTACCCTGAAAATCGTGTAATCGTGGGACAATATGGCATTTAAAAAAACTTTATAAAAGTTTTTTGAAATTTCACCATATATTTTACTGGCAATTATACTTAGTATACATTTTATTAGTAAAATGTATGGTAAAATTTCAGAAAACTCTCATAAAATTCTTCGAAATGTCGTGCTGTCCCGGAGTTACATCATTTTCGGGATAAATTTTAAGAGAGCATTTTCCCCGTGCATATGTTGACAATTGTACTTAATGGATTAATATGCAAAACGCAATCAGAGATATACAAGTGTATAAAGATAGAAATTATATAGATAATGTGGAGTGAAATAGAGTGAATCTTTATACTCGGACACATACTGAGAAAAAGTAGTTGACAGTATTTCTTCAGAACGAATATATATGTTTTTCAATTAAACTTACATAATCGAAACATATTTTTTTGAATTACCAAATATTTCTGCGATTTAACAAATATTTGACAACCCGTGGATCGCAGCATATATATATAGTTGAATCAAACAATTTTTTTTATTCAACCCTTTACTCAGTGCACAAATAAGATAATAAATTAATTTTTAATTAATTCAGATTGTAACGTTTCATTTCTACTTAGGTCATGTATATCTCGAGATATGAGATCCTGTTCTATCCAGGATATTCCGTCATTACCCTTCCATGACCGTGTTCCTTTGCCGATTGCATTTTAATCGCCTTTACGCGAAATCAACGCGCCGCGCAAATCGCGAATCCCGCTCGCATGGCGGAAGCTGGAACGAATGGCGGAGACAGACACATACACACGCAGAAATGTCCAGGGAAGAGACACGGGGGCACAGCAAAACACACAGAACGCTCGTTCCGCCCGGGAAAAAAAGCCGCGGCGAGCATAATGGATATCTTTATTATCGGAGCCGCGAGTCGCCGAGACTTCGTGAGTCTCCGGCAAAGTCGATCACGACGGCGATGTCTCAACCTGGGCTCGGGCCCAATTGGTCCCGCCAGTCTTCCTCGCTACATAAATATTGATGAAAACGATGCGTTTAAAAAAAGAATATATATATATATATATATAGACATACGCGAACGACAAGTTCATCCGCGGTTAAAAAGCCGGAAGATTTATCGGGACGCGTCCTCCCGACGACAGCCATTTCCGAGCGAATCGTACATCAAGGAGAGCCTGAATCAGTTTTCGTGTAGCTGAGTTTCGGTTTCGATTCATAGCCGCGAGTTTTACACTTAACGTACCTCTCCTCCATTTATTTTCTATTTCAGTCGTCGCTACGTCTCATGTCTCACGCGCGTGACTTTTGTTGCAAACCGGTTTAAAGTGAAATCAAAACTCGGATCGTTCAGTCGCGTCCGCAGTTTTCAAAGTAGATCGAGATTCGGGGACTGGTTGCGTCTGCCCACCGTTCGCCGCAACTTGGACGACAGAAACGCAGAGGCC